AATAAATTTAAGTCACAGAGAATAGCACATTCTAACCGGATGGCGCCTGCCCACATGTTAGCATTCAGAGAGTATTAACTTTGAACTTTCATCTTAAGGAGCCTGTCTTGGCTTTTGCTCCTGATGCGTAGGCAAGTAATTTGGTCTAACGACGCGAATGGTTTCTGCTGAAGGGACTTGGTGGATGGAATATGGCTACAGAAGTAATGCGGAACATGTTAATGTACAGAACACTACCTTTTCTAGGTATCTACTTCTCTTGGTTTGTGCGGTTTTGCGAACTTCGCCAAACCAACCTATTGGCGTCGATAAAAGCAACACAAAACAGAAGTTTAGGATTTATCTTATTTGCGCGATCCTGAAGTAGTATATCAGAACAAATAACAGAATAAACAAATATTCCGTATTGTTCCTCAACGTTCCGATCCTGCCGGGAAGGTCCTTTTCAAGAATCTGACATAAGGTTTTCAGGTTAATATTCGTACAGAAGGTGGTGACCTTTATGACCATCCAGTTACATCATGATATGGAGCTAAGAACAATGTAATTCAGGTGAACGGATAAGCAGATCTGTCAGAGAGGCGTTTTTCAGTTGTGCGAGTAAAGGTGGAACAAAAGGACGGGGGGGATTCAGTTCGACTCTGAAAAGTACAATGAGGTTGTGAGTTGTCAGGGGTGAGAAGGAGAAGGTTGTCGGTCTGAAATGATAAATATCTGAACATCAGGCAATATATAATTAATGAAGAATTATAATGATGGCGTTAGAGGTGCTTTTGATAACGTTTGAAGTGTGAGTGATAATAAAATGGATTATGAAATGTGCATAACTCAGAAAGGAGTGTAAAGCTGGTGAAAACAATGGATTAGTAAAGTGTTATGTGATAGGAATAAACAAAGTGTTAAAGTACAACCAACATTTTCTGACGTGATTAGGACGATTAGGTAAAATAGCACCAGAAACTACTCAAGCAAGAATAAATTCGGGAAAGTCATGAGGAATGAAACTGTGCTCTACCTTCTCTTCACACATTATTTGCAACTGTCTGTGCCGGTCATTATTGCCTGGCATATTTATGGGATGTCTAACCCATCTTTTCTGCTGACTTTACTGCCACCCGTTCCGGTGGCAGGCTTCATTTACTGACTAATCTACGTCAGAACCATTACCACACTCGAATACGCTTGAACCGCGGCTCTCGGTTCCTTTTTGATGTCGTCTTAGACGATCCGTCAGGGAAGAGGTAAAGAAATGTGATCAAAAAACACTTCACTCACCACTGAGGCATAGATCAGGTCACATGATTTCCTAAGATAAGACAGAAGGCCTGGTCCTTGCTAGTCCTTCTTCATATGAGAGTTGGGTGAGACCTGTCAGTAAATTAGTGGTAACCTGTTTTAGCATGTTGACTTTGCATTTGAAGTATGGAATAGCAACCTGGATGTGCTGTTCTTAAATGCGGTCTTACATACGGGGGTTATAAAATCCTAAGCATCTATCCACCGAAGCATTAAGATGCTCTGCAAAGCTACCGGAGAATGAGAAATGTCTTAGCTGCACATAGATCACAACTTTTAGTTGTATTTAGGTCCGAATTGCCACAGCCCCTGATTTTTTCGTTCCAGAACCTAATGAACTGGTTGACCACACTCTGATTACACACCAGAAAGTTACTCACGATGAAAATTGCCACATTTTTGCTGAGACAGATTTCTGGGCTTTATCACTTGGACAACTCAGCCAGCTGATCAATGTAAGCCTGCAACGCATACCTCACCGTGAAGCCGTCGGAAAATACCGGTGATGGCGATGCAAGCATCTTTGGTATATCTGTGGCGCATGGAGGGTTCAAGAGTTACACACTCGGAATTATCACCGGTGACTAATTTCTACTTAGACTATGTTCCGTTCTCCCTTACTCTTCACCTTCTCTCATGTGAGTGTTCTCCGATCTATGCATAAACTACACAATGAATGCCACCGGTAAAAGTTTTTTCAACAACAAATGGTCAACTCGTCGCTGGAACCAACAAACTGCACGCCCATAGGCAGTCCACAATCTCTAGCTTTACTCCAGTCCTTCCCAACTCGAGCAGGTTTGCTAAACAACAGCGTCTATTGCAGAAGCCATGTCGCTTCCACGCCAGTGGGTTTCAGGTCCCCAGATGCTCGAGAATCTCACCAGTTGGTGTATTCTCCATTGGCTTAGCTACAGTACTAGAAAGATCGTTAAGTCAGTAGCTGATGACTAGCTGTTTATTGCCTCCGTTAAACACAGAAATTATTACGACATCCTCCTGACCAGTTCTACCTCAGGCAAGGACACGCTGAATGACACATCTAAGGATGCATCAACAATACTGTCCAACAAAAACAGAATCCTAGGAAAAAACCCATCCAGGCCGGTTGAATCACATAGCTTCGTGTTTCTAGGCTGTCGAGGGCTATCTTCTAAGTAATTTTGATAGGATCCATTAGAGGAACATCGGAAATATTATAAGCCCCGAAATTTCAGAATTGTCCGCGGAATACATTTGGATGATGCATCTGGATAAACTATGTGTTTTAACTAGGTTCGAATCAACCAAATGTGTTCCATCGAATCACATTCTTACAAAACAGTGACCCTCAATTCTTCTAGCACTTCTAATATGAGAGAACATTAGACTTACATTTGTCCTCCATCTTCTATCATTCGAGTCTAAATGCTTCACTTACTAGGGTTATGAATGCATCCTATGGTATTTTTTCGCTCTAATGACCCCCGTGCTTGCTTGCACAACACTTTGGCCTGTGAGGTCTCATAGGATTAGTCAAAGGAATGTCTCGGAAGCTATCATAAATGTTAATCCTTGATTCTAGACTGTTAGTTACGTCATAGTTTTCCTAATCTTTTTCGGACAATCACCAATTAATATTTTTGCAGTGGTAAACAAATTTCCATTTTTTTCTATTTATGGGCCTTACACTTGTATGCTGACTCAGCACGACCACCCCATTACCGAATAATTTGTAACAATATTATCACTGTGAACTTGGCTCAATCTTACACGTCCCTACAGACGTTACCCCAGTTACCGTCTCCTACTAATGGAATTACCATCTCTATCCCCATAAACCGTCCTATAATGTTATTTGCTCCCCCTCTTCCCTCATCCCACACTTTATTGAAAGCGCTCCCAACCACTCTTCTCCACCAATGTTTCTTCTTCCATACCGTTCCTCTTTTCCTAACCGTTTTTTCCATTGTTTCTTTTTCTTCGCACTTTCTCCCACTCGCTTTTGCTAAACATATTTTCCATCTTTTTTTTACAACCAGTTTGACCAATTTTCTGCTAGCACGAGACTTGGGGAATCCGTCTGCACCACAGTCCTCGGCAAAAACCCCCCACACACTCCCTTAAAATTTAACCAACACCCAACAGATCGACAGGCTAACCAGAGCTACAGCAGTCGAGTGGGTATACCTACTGCATCGGAATCTGCCAAAGACCTGGAAACATTCCCCAAGACTTAAAAGCGAGCGCGAAGAAATCAATTGGTTTACACTAGCTCGAGGAAAGATATTGGATATTGGAAGTTCGTCCAAGGTCAGTCTACCGGTTGCTTTGAAAGTATGTCTAGATGGCACCTTTTGACCTTTGGCATTTAAAACGTTTGTCCCATTTTTTGCTTTTCTTATGCCACCACATGCCTGTGAGCTCTTTTTTAGAAAGTTAGTTTAAGGAATGAAAGAAGAGTAAGGCGTCAATACTATTTTTAGGCTACGTCCAGGTGTATTATAGTGAACACTGAATCAGCGGCTGATCGATTTGATGTTTCACTCTCCAAGTTAATAGGTTTGTCAAACCTAATAAGTTATACTTCGATCAAGCCTTGGGTCACGAATCGGACATGGGCCAGATGTATTGCATATGAACCAATCTTTGCGCCACCGTTGACACAGGACCAAACTTCGCCACATTGGTACAAAAACGACGAGCATACTCGACTGCTGTCCGTTGTGTCCTGCAATGTAGCTAACATGGCTGTTAAAACAGATATTAGGAGACTGAAGGTTTCCGACGATGAAAGCCTTGTTAGCATTGCTCGCGTATGGTAGAATCGTCGTGTGAGCATAGTCGAGGTTAGACGAAGAGTACCAGGCAATTCAGCCGATAAATAAGGTTGTGAAATTTCAGCAACTGAGTTGGGTCAGATATGTGTTGCGCATGCCGAGACACCACCTTCCTGGACGTGCAATATTAGCTAGAGTAGGACTGGGTTTCATGGAGGCTCAGGGTTGCCAGACCAATACGTGGCATCAGTCTGTGAGCGTTAGTCTGAGCTACGTAGGGAGGTGTAGGCTTTCTGCCTGAGGTCCTCAAGACAATAGGAGTCAGCGGTTGCAGAGTCCTGGTGGCAGCTGTAAATCGGTCAGTGGTACGAATGTATACACTGACGTCTCAAGCGTCAGCACTTTAGACAGCTTCATTTTCAAAATTTTTTTTCTGCAGTACAGCTTTGTATACTTTAATTTCACTCTGTCAGCTATTTAGCATGCTATATTGAAGTGTAGCAACTTGAACTGATGCACTTCTGTCAGATATTGTGTTGATTTGTCCGTTGCTATTTGTAGAATTGTAACTCACTGGTTTATGGAAATCGTAACCAGTGGGTTACGGGTTCGAACCCCACCTTGCCTACTCAGGTTTGGGAAGCCAGGTAGCATCAATCGCCCTCACAATCGATATCCCATTGCCTACTCCCATCTCCGTCTGGCTATAGATTAGGTGAGCTACACTTCACTAGATGTCTGTATTCAATCACATCCGTATTAAACTGCATATTTTCTGATTAAATTTCCACCTACTTTAACCGTTTGTTTTGAAATTCTCTGATCTTGGAAATTCATAGCACCTGATTGAAGTCCTACGATTAACCTGCTGATTACTCACCGTTTCCGACTTTGGGCTGCTGGTGGTGTCAAACCGAACTCTTAGTCCGCTTACATTGTAGTGAAATGTCGTCAGCACAGGTAAGGTAAAGCAATCATATCTGTTGTTTTGTCTTGGTTGAGTCATTTTTTTTATAACTCTGACCGCAGTAACAATAAAAAATAACCGCTTCCTGGGTTTACGATATTTATTCTGTATACAACCACATAACAAATAAATCAGCTCGCTTGTCACTATCGGCAGTTTCGTTCGCACAAAATGCTTTGATCTGTTGTTAAAAGCTTTAGAAATCTGTTAAATACTATGTTGAATTCTTGATTGGTATGTGCAAATATTGTAAACGAGTGACTACATGAAATAGTTTGAATGAGAACAAATACAGTTTTCATTTCGAAAAGGTTCTTTTAGTCCACTCCATTAGCATGGCTTGAAGATTGTTGCCTTAATGGAGCTGTGGATCGTTGTTTTACTTAACCGATCTTCAACTTTTGGTTTATTTGTTGAAACTTTACTCCACCAATTAACATTTGGGCTTCCAATCAGTATCACTGTTTGTCATACAGTAAGGTTCATTCCCTGTTGCACAAGTCTGATCTTACCTATCGAGCTACATGTTTGTGTTATTTCAGTTGAAGTTCCGTGTTTCGTTAAGTGAACTACCTGTTTAGGCCATACAGTCCATGTTGCCGTGTAAAGTTTTGATTAAAATTTGTCTTGTAACTAAAATCTCCACACCATTGTACATAGTAAGTAGACTACACGTTAGTGTCGTCACGTAACAAATCTATGTAGTCTACGTGCACTCAAGATTACCATACCAGGTCAATTTCTGTAAATTAAAATGAGAAAATGAAAACCTGAATGCCCACATGCATGACCAAGTTAAATAAAATGTAGTAGACAGATGGATAATATCAATATGAAAACTGACATTACTACATGACTGTCCAATTTGCCACACTTCATGTCAGCACATCAAGCGCGAATGCATCCAGAGGATGGATACAGAAATAAAGAAAAAAATAGTTAAAAGTGGTAGAAAGCCTTTGAGAGAGATAAGAAGCAAGGAAGCTATTGAAAATTGATATGACGATTAAGATGGTGTGTGGATGCATCTATACCGATCCTCAGTCACATCACGTAGTTTCGTTGGGTCATTGTGATATGCAAACTCGTCAAGGAAGCAATTATCAGTCGCGAATAAAATGTAGTGGATTTCTTTAATGTAAACCGGTTGGTATGAAAATAAGATACTAAGCGAAAAAAGCAAGTCAGTCGATGAGACGATAAACCTTCAGTGACTGAGGTGGCTTGAACACGTGCTGCGCATGCCATTACCTGCTACCTGGAAGTGCACTGTTGACCGAAGATGGACTGGGTTTGAAGCTGACGAAGATGTATTCCTAGTCTATTAAGTCTCTGAATGTTAGTCTGAGTCGTGTATGGAGGTGTAGACTGCCGGGTCCGAGTCCTCAGGACTGTGGGAATGGACGATTGTAGATATTTGATGATATAACTAGAAATGAGTCCCAAGGGCGCAGGTGTTTTCACTTGATGTCTTCTAAAGTGTGAGCCTTTTCGCTAACCTTCAGTTTTTAAATACTTTATCTTCTTCTGGACTTTTTGTTTACTATGATCTCACTCTACTTCTATTTCCTTATTCCTTTCATGCTGCTGTAACGTTTGCAACTCGAACCGATTCACTTGTGTGCCTTTTTCTGCACTTAATTTTGTTGCAATCTTTATCAGTGTCTCTCTAAGTGTTTGACCATTGTTACATATTGCCACAGGCTTTAATGCGTGAATAACTTGTGTAGTTCGACTCTGTGAATGTTAATTTAGTTGTCTTTAATTTACAGTTGTTGTGTAGGGCTTATGACATTACCTGGTTACCCGGCCGGATGTATGTCGTGTTTGCTTCGACTTTGAAACCCATTACCTAAATTTTGAGTACCTAATCAAACAAAGCTGATTTCCACAGCTTATGTTGGTGCATTTGCTATTGATAATTCCTTAAGGTTGTATATAGTGCAACATATTTGAAATAAATCGTAGGAAAAAAGAATCTTTACCCTCTTACGTGCGATCAACTGCTTTGAGTTGCACCATTTTCCAACTGATTTTGTTTGCATGACAACCCCAGTAAAAACAGCTTTTGTATACATTGTAACTCAAAAAGTTCATTGCAGTGGGTAAGACTGACCATCTCGGCAAGATAGCAGATTTAATCACCATCGATCTACTTCAGTTAAAAAAGTATGAAGTCATATTAAATTTTCACCTGTTCATGTTAGTATAAGGTGTATAACAGTTATATGAAATCTGTACTGCACGGATTGAGAGTCTTGGAATATTTTCCCGACTGATTAAAGTTCTGATTGTAGATTTCAGAATGCACATTTCATCAGAAGACCCATTCAGCAATTAATGTTGCCATAATAGTCAACATCTAGTAAACAATGATATACAATTACCTTATTGGGGTCACAACACTCTGGATTTCAGGCTTTAGGACTATTCTATGTAAGAAACTGGTTTCATATTCAAATCTCCTCGTTTTCCTCAATCAGTATTATGAATCCATACATAATACATTTATATTTCGTGTAAATTTATTCCTGACGAACTAGTTCATCGTAGTAAAAATAAAGTATGCTTTATGCAGTCAAAAAGACACTTGGGTGGTGCTTTCGGAATCCCTGTTAAATAATGAATAGTAGTGATTGTCTGGTAAAATTATGCTCAAACAACCATATATTATCGGCCAGCGCGAACTACAGATATGAAGAGAGATATTATCTGGTGTGGCATCTATCAACCACGACCTTATGATGGATGGAGACCGACTAATTAACTAGCAGTTATAGCTGGAGTTGATCAGTTAAAGTTAGTGGCTCTTCATAGTACATTTACGTGGACGACGATCACGGTGTCATTCATCCTGAAGGAGTCTGATGTCGTCTCCAGTTTGCTGTATAAACAGTCCATAATTGACCAAAAGGAAAAGACCATTGAGGTTCACTGAGTCTCAATAGATGCACGTGAACATACTCGTAGTGTCTGAGCACAATGAGGAACAGAGGTAATTAGAACATAGGGTGACAAAGGGTTCACGCAGTAAGCACAACCAGTAGTGCACAGTAAAGACAAAGATGGATGATGCAGTGCTATAGACAATACTGGATAGTTATTGAGTCTTGTCACGAAAACGTGAGAAAATCCAATGTTTAGTGGGTCTGCAACGGGGAAGAATTGGTCTGCAATTCACTGGGAAGAAAGATGACTAGAACGACGAACAGAATACTTCTAGGAACTGAACTCTAGCTAGTCTTCACTTATCGTCTATCCTAAACGAAGATTGGGGTTTGTCCTTGAACTCCTGCGTAAGTTAAAAAGGTTGTGTGTAACCTGTATCAAGGAAAAGCAGCAGTCATCGACGGGTTAGTACCAGTGGAATTTAATTATTATCGATTGGGCTGACTGGAGTGACATTTTGTTTGGGAACCAGAAACGACCGCCTCTGATAGGTCACCGTCGAGCTTTCTGTAATAACCATAGTGGAACTAGTCTGATGAAGTGTCCTAAATTTTACCTTTTATAATCATAAACGCCTAGGGGAAGTTTGGGAACAGAAAACCAGGCAGGTTCAAACTTGTTCGTGGGTATGTTGATCAGATTTTCACCTTCTGCCAGATCTTGGAACACTGACACACGTATCGGTGCCTATCATTGACTGTATTTCTCGACCTGAATGCAACACTTGACTCCGGGGATCGAGAGGTCTTATGGAAGTGTTTCTAACTGAAAGGGGTGCTAGGTAAGTGCATCGCTGTATTGACGACTGTGTATTCCAACGCGCGTGGGCATTTAAAGCTAATGGTTGTGTACGTCAACTGGTCTCTGTCAGAAATCCCCATTCTTTTCATGTTACTCAAAATTCGTCATACATTCTTCACGTAGGCTTCTCTCTTCTCATTTGACTTTGTTGCAGGGAACTTCGTAATGGTTCTGTAGTGTACAGATAACAAAGACCTGTTTGGTGGAGCCATTCACAAGAGGCTGTCTTCTGAACCCCTTGTGTAACAATTGAAGAATATTTGAGGTGCATTTCTCACAATCAGTCATAAAATTCCATTACGGTATTGGTCCACATCGGCACTGTCTAACTATGTGGTGTTCTGTGGTTGACCACGTTAACAACTTGACTTGCTTAAGAAGTCAGGTAATCGTAGTCCAATACAGTTCGCTCTGTTTTACTTTACGGTTGTGAAACATGTCCATTAAAGATAGAGGATAGGAGAAGGCTCCAGGTATTCGACCATCGTTGCTCTCGTAGCACTGACCATATGTCATAGTGCCACCACGTCAGCAACGCAGAAGTTAGTTGACGAAGTTACAAATCTTCGTGGACTCATATGTCTTGGAAATGTGTTAAAAATGCCTAACTGTCATCTTCCCCATTGTGCAATGTTAGCTTAAGTAGTTGCTGACTGAAAAAAAGATTAAAAGTAGCGATACTGAAATGCAGCATTAGTTCATGAACTCTCCGATTATCGATCTAAGTCATAGAGGGGAATGTAGACTTTCTGATTAGAGTCGGCATGACAACTGAAGTTGGTGTTGGATGCTCTTGTCGATGTAGCTGAGAATAGATGTCAGTGGCGCAGATGCATTCACACGTTATCTTCGTCCTAATCCCAACACCGAATTCCCCTGTAGTATCATTGCTAATTGTTCTCGTCTCACAACTCTTCACCACTTTTAATTTCTTTCTTACTACTCCATCTACCATTTGTATGCCTACTACCTTAATGTATAACAATTTTGACTGCTGTGCAGTAATGTCGGATCCCGCGCTAATATACACCGACTACCTGTTACTGCCGATTGATTGCTTTGAGTTAAGGATTTTATTTTGCAATTCAAAATAACTACCATGACACTGGAAGATTGATATTCAGAGGCTGTTAACAAGTTATTAATTCAAGTCGCTACAAATCAGCTAGAATTCATGTTCATTCCGAAATTTGAATCCTCACTAATTAAGAAGCTGTTTCGGTCATTAGTAGCCCATCGTAGAGTGCAACTCAGCAACCTGGCACACGCTTATGCACTGAGCTATGAGCCACAATTAACTTGTAACATATCGTAATACTACTCTGTTGCCTAGGTCAAAATATGCAGAGCGGGGTTCGAACCAGTGACCGAAGGTTGAGTTTCTAAGCCAATGAACCCTACCTCCAAAAGTAGTGTATATTATTTAGGTTCGATATCCACTTAAACTCGGCTGTGATTCAAAAATTAGACCGTATATCCACGAATTTGAATGTTCATATTGCATGATTTATAAAAGGGTATCATTTCCACACTTTTGCTTTATATTGTCCGTTCGAAATCTTTGACAAGTTTATCCCTATTTGTAACTAGTACTATTCTGATGGTATTTTAATTAAATGCACAGACCAACAAAATCCAGAATATTTATGGTTATGATTACTTTTTTATTTACTTGATGTATATTTATAGATAAAAAATTATGTGACGGAAATTTCCAGTTTAAAAGACCAATTCAACACGTTGTCGAATCAGTCTAGCGAAAAGCTGAAGAAGATTATAGAGACTATTCAGTCTTATCAAACACGTATGGAACCGTTGAATAAAAACATGGAACAACTCCAGATACTACAAAGAAGTTAGTTACTTGTACTGTTTTTCCTCTTTAAGTATAGTGTTGCTAGACAATGTTAAACAATAGAGCAGTTGATCTGGTACATATAATTTATTATGTTGAAAAAGGTTACTGTGAGTGGTTTTCAGTCCAGGTAGTCGAACAGTATAAGTATTCTAGATGGTAATTCAGTGCTTAGAATGAGATACCAACGAAAAATAGTGTTTTCAGTTAAATCTTCCTCAGGCTCGAATCGAGCGAAGAGAATCGAATTTCGACGAATAATTTCAAAAAGTGTCGGTTATTCACCAAGTTTGAACGTCAGAAGCAAAGAATGGGATTTTCATCACTTAATGCTTTCATACCAATAATCAGGAAGAAATGCTATGTACTTAAAAACTTCGGGAATGTTTTACCTATGAACTGTAGTCATTTCTAATAGTTGAAGCCCCTCTTAGGCGTGTTCAGGTACTGAGTATCTACTTAGGGTTAAGGTGGCATTAAAAATTAAGAAGTGACAAATAAACTTTATTGACTTGAGGATCCTATTAACCTAATAAAACAAATTAATTTGATCTGCAGAATATCATGCAATGACTGTGGCATCAACTACACAGATTAGTTCAGCCGATTGGGGTCGGTTAGATCACTAGAGAACTGGAAACTTGCTAAATTCAGAAAGCATTTCAACTATTGCAATATCTAACAATAGGGTGGGACAAAACAACTGTGCGTATGGCTGATACAGTTAGATAGAGGGGGAGAGATTGACTACCGACCTTTTGTTCATCGAATTAACAGTCAACAGAAGCAAGAGGTATGACTTACCTTGGTGCATGATGATAACTGGATTAGAAATACTGAAAAGGAAGCTTGTTTCATTTTCTGTTGGCGTGAGCCGCGTCTTTATACTCAGGAGGGAGCTTGTAGGCTTGTCGTTTGAAATATTCAAAGTCAATGGCTGAAGGTTACAAACTTCAGGTGACTGACAACCACAGTGGCATATATATATATATATATATATATATATATATATATATATATATATACAGAGAGAGAGAGAGAGAGAAATGAACTTAACAAATAACATGGTATTTGTCGCTTATACCAAGATAAGGCATACATATGTTGTAACTCGTTGAGTTCATTTTTCTTACATAGATTTTTTTGTCAACAATTTTTGTTTCACCAGATATCTACTGAGTTTCGGCTTACTATTATCACTACTGTAAATATTTTCGTTTTGGCATTTAGATTTGGAATCATGTCGGTCAAAATTGAGTCAAGTACAAGAGTACCATCGTACTGGTCGTGAATTGGAGAACACAATTAGACAAGGGTATTTTGAAAGAATATGCTTCAAAACAGAACAGTTTTAATGTTAATTTTCTGTTTCTTTTTTTATACTCAAAGACCGACTGCTCTTGTTGACGATTATTTAAAGGCTATGGAACGCATAAAAGGTGCATTAGCATATTTCCAAGAAAGTAATCCACAAGACGTTGAATTCAGTCGACTGGTACGTTATGAATTAGTTATTGTATGGTTTTTAACTTGTACGCTCCTTATTTTGTATTTACTCATGTGGCTGGCTGAATGACAAAATCAACGTAGAACCTCGCACACAAGCGCATCACTTCAAGTTGCCACACTTCTCAGTAGTATACGAAGAGCAGGTCGATAGAAAAAGTGATATTACAGAAGATAAAGAAGCGTAAGAGAATAAAAAAACTGAACCCACTGATACGCTAGGACTGAATGCCGATGTGACTATCCCCCCTCAGCACCTTGTTCTTCACTGAGTCATTCAAATGTTAAAAGGCTAAGAATCACCTGTGACTACAAGGACATTTTTTCTGATAAACTATATCATATATATGAAGTTATTTCGTCCACATATAAACGTAAATAAAATCTGAAACAAAAACACTTCTACTCCAACGGGCGATGACTTAAAATGTTGATTTTCAGTTCTGGCCGCTTCCTATCACCTCCCCCTCGTAAAAGCTGTATATTTTCTTTCTTGGGTCAATTTGAAACGCCTTTGGTCTTTTCTTTGTAGAAATGATCTTCGAGCTGGAACCGGTCTCGTCTGATCCGCTTCTTATGTTTCTAGCTGTAGAATGTCGAAGGTGTCTAGTAACACTTCAAGCATGAAGTCCTAGTCTTTATTATCTGCTGTCTGCTGAAAATCTCGTATGTGGTTCACATATAGGACCAAAGTCTATCCTTCTTTATTCGCCTTGTACATGACATTTCTTTTACGTCTGACTACTTGCCCACAAATCTATTTTGGTGGTCAAAAGCGAAAACTACGTACATAAACCTGTTGGTTGAATCTAAATTCTTGACGTATAGCCTCTTGATGGCGATCGAACTGGTTTTCCATTTACCTGTTCCTTTGCACATTTTCTGTTTGCTTAGGCTTAACTGCATTGAGAACGGTTTGACTTTTTGACTAAATATGATTTCTGATGGTGATAGTTGATTCGGGTCTGAAGAATTCGATGTGGTGCTGTAAAGCGTTGGAAACTTATCGAAAATTTCTTCCATCATCTCCTCCCCCTTCACCTTCACAAATTCTTGTTTGAAGATATCAACAAAGCGTTCTGCTTGACCACTGGGCTGGGGATGATATGGAGGGGCACGAATTTGTTGAATACAAAACTAGCTGCAAACGTCTGAGTACACCGATGACGTAAACGGAGTCTCAAAATCGCTCGCCAGAACGTCAGGGATTCCAAATTGGTAAAATAGCTTACGCAGCTGTGTCACTGTTGCATTTGGCCGCTTCCTATCAATCTGCTCACCCTGAACCCTATTCCAACTTAATCCAGTTTTCCCTACCATGGCACTTCTAGGTAAATGGTGGCTCAGCATCCGCAGTATATGTCCGACCCACCTCAGTCGATGAAGGTTCACTACTTCGTCAATCGGCTTGCCTACCTTGCATCATACCTTTCGCCTGACCTAAACACTGCTCACACTGATTCCACCATACGCGAGCAATGCTACGAAGGCATGTCATCATAACCGTGTAATCCCTTCATCTCTTCTACCTTTAGCGACCATGTCTCATGGCCGCATAACAGGAAAGAACGAACTGGAGCTTAACATGCGCGTCGTTTTATAGATAGTCAGATATCTCGCGGGTGCCACAGATGATGCAAGTTGGCAAAACCAAACGGGCCTTCTGTATCCGAGCTGAGATTTCGTCAGCAACCAGCACGTTCGGGCTTATGCAACTCCCAAAGTAAATAAGAAAACTAGTCGACACATTCCACCACTTCACTCCTTGTAATTACACTGCCAGTGGTTGCATACCAGTCCCGGAGCATCATACATTTGACATGCCAGGGAAATGCATACCAAGCGTACTTAGATTCCTGCTTATGATGTTCAGAAGAGCCTGAATTTTCTCAACATCACCTAACAGGAGAATATCGTCTACATACTCCAAGTCACCCAAATAACCTCTAGAGAGTAGATCGATCCCTGTGAAGTAAGACGTACCTGAGGTTACGTCCATTAGTACGTCAATGATGAAGTTAAGTAGGAACGATAACAGTGGACATCCCTAGTGAACACCTCTAGTTGTCGTCAATTCACACGGTAACTCTGCATAAGCCCCTTTATTGCTGTGTGAGTCCGAATAGCGAGCTTTGTTTATCGTTACGTACTTGTTTGATATTTCCTTCACAGTCAGACACTGCAGCAACACCTCACGGTTGACAGAGTCAAATGCCGCCGTCAGGTTAATAAATATGGTAAACGACGGCCACCGATATTTGTGCCTGTGTTCCAGAACCTGATCGATGTACCCTCATAAAGGTCTGATACCTGTCTGGTTTTCTTGAGTTTGTTGTTCTCAAGCTCCAGTCAGGCATCAGATAACTATAAGTTCTAGTGTCTTGGAGACAAGATTGGTCAAACTAATTCCACTGTGGTTGTCTCAAGAAGAGTTTTCCCCCTTCGTATAGACTGTGATGATCAGTGAAGTACACCAGTCTGACGGCACTACCTCTGATTCCCATACACTACCTAGTACCTCCGTCACCTTAGGCAACAACTTCTTCCTCGATGCTTGAAAACTTCTGGTGGCAACCTATCAGGTTCTGCTGCTTAGCATCGTTTCAGGTTCGATATAGCTTTGTCAACTGCAAGGAGAGTTGGAGGATCGACATCTACGTCTCATGTAGGTTCAGGCTGGATGTTGGGCAACTGAAGCGTTGCTGAGGGCCAGTTGGACTATGCTTCAAAGTGTTCTGCCCAACATTCTAGCCGTCTTTCCTGAGAGATTATCAGCGTCCCATCCTTTTCGGTGATGATTTCACTCAGCATCTTCTATTTCTTGCCAGTATCTTTAGTAAGCCTAAACAGTTGCCTAGTGTTACCCAACGCTGATGCCTTCTCCATCTGTGATGCTTTCGCCACACACCACTGCTCGCAATCGTTACGAAGACTCCTTTTGAATTTACGTTTGAGTTGCCTTCGCTCTTCATCGTGATCAAAGCCAGCTAGACTCAGTCATTTCGGATGAGATTGCGGAAATTCAGTGATGTTTGGTGACCTTCGAGTGTAAGTTAGGTACCGACTGTCTTCACCACTGTTTCTACAGCAGACTTACTATCACGTCAGGTTTTCCCTCAGGATGAGCATTGCTGTCACTTTCAAACAAATACGTATTTGACCTCCTCATCTTTCTTTCAATCGAGCAGAGATGAGCCTCACTCCCGCAGCCAGCAAGACGCAAACGTACACGAGTCTGTAATAGCGCACGATCGGAGTCTAAATGAGTACTCCAGGAAGGGTAGTATTTCGCCACCTATTCTCTCCAACGATGGCTTATAGCACTGTGATCTATCTGTAGATTGTTGGTTTGAATTTGGCGGTCGCTATGTGAGACGAGACAGTATCTTTCCTCATGGTTGATGAAGTTAATGCTGGTCAGAAACAAGTGATTGTTGGGAAAGAATTGTGAGAGATGACAAGCGTTGTTGGTTCATTAGGAAGGGACTCTGGGAATACCTCCTGGATGCCTTCTCAATGGGCTCAGGCTTCCTACTTGATCGTCACCTGCCATTATGAATATATCTAAACGTTTTATTTTCTGTGGCAAAATTGACAGCTTCTCATAGAGTTCATCCTTTACATCGTCTGAACTGTAGTCAGTGGTTGCTTAGGCGATTACAAATAGGTATCATGCGCTGTCACAGTCCTCACAGATCCAATCAGTCGAACTACATGTAGATGGCTGTTTACTGGTATCTAGTCTGCGAGCGCACTTTCTGCTTTACAAGTCAATGCTATGCCTACATCAGCAAGTCCACGAGAGCTATCCAATGGGTCGCCGGATACTCTTAAAGTTAATTTTGAGGATTCAATATTGTGACCAGGTGACGTCAATGTAATAACCACTTGCGGTTTCAGTATGTGTGTTTCTGAAACAGCATTCATCCATGGCTGAATTTTCTAGAGTTTTAGTAAGGGATGCTAGCTTTCCAATTTGACATAAAGTTCAAAAGTTGAAGGCTCTTACATGAAATCGATGGTGGGTTCTTGCGAAACTAGGAGTGTGGTTTCGACGGCTTTGAACGTTGGCAGTGGTTGCAGAGCAAGAGGTTGGGTAAGACGTAAGAGGCTTAATATTAGTATCAGAGTATAAAGACAAGGGAAGAGACAGAATTGAGGAGGATAGGTTATGTTTGCAACAAATAATGTGAGGTGACAAAGCCAAAAAATCATATGTCTAAAGGAATGTGATTCCATTGACATGATTATCAGCAATAATTTGTACTCGAAACGTCATCAAGTAAATAATACTGTATCACTGTGTGTTATCAATAGAATAAATAAATCTAATATGGAATTAAATTCCACCACAGTACCTTAGTTATACACCCAGATGTTTGAATGGATATTATGTACTACTGAAAGCGTGCGGGCGGTTGACACTTTACGATTCCCTACACCGTGGAAGTGTATTTTTACTTAAAGTAGCTGAGGCAGAAATTGATTTGTCCGGCCACAGAGCCTGTGGGAATTCTACTTGAATCTGTCACACACGGCCTTTTTCAGTGTGTGTTTGCTGTCGTTCTAATGCTGGGTGGAGAGAACCCAAACCGCCTGCACCGGAAGACCGTGGGTCAGATGAAGTGTTATTCTATGGGTGGACCTTTTGTAACTTCCGTTTCCTTTGGGAAGGCAGCATCAGCTTGGAACTGCTGGTCATCCAAGGGAAACACGTTACTGTCATCACACCCCACCCAGCTAGCAGCAGTACGACTTCATCTCTAGACCCCCATTATAGTGCGATTATTTACATTACAACGGTAACTGTTTTTCGTCTTACCACTACCCAACAGATGTTTCTGGCATGGTAAGACCTCTCGAGAACAAGCGTCTCACCGGCATAGCTCGTTGGTCATTGTGATATGCAAGCCTAACCATCACGTCAAGGTAGCAGCTATCGGTCGGGATCTACTGATATATTTATCTTGTTTTGTTTACTTTTATGTCTTTTTCACAAATACAGACATCATTGTATTCAGTTGGTCTGGGAAGCTTGGAACGCGAATTTGATGGCATACTAAGACAAGCCTTTCGTCCTATAAATGATGCTACTCTGATAAGATTGATGGACCAGAAATGTAAGTATATGCACGTAGGTATAAATTCATTTTAACCGTCATCAACTATCGTGCACACCAAATGTAAGCTAAAATATTATCCTTTAAGTGAAATCCAATTGTTTCTTTGTCAGTTGTATGAATATTTTCGATGGTTATTAAAGGTAAATAGTCAAATGATTCTTTTGTTTCATTTTTTAGAACGTGTGTGCAAATGCTCTGGTAGTACTAGTGTAGTGATAACTATTTATTAGAATACATATAATTAGTGTATATAGCAACTTCGAAAGTGATAAACATGTATTGGTGAAAAATCAGGCACATAGAACATACAATAATAGATAGGAATACAAGGCGCAATAAGTAGGTTGGATGACATGCAGAATAGGACATAATTTACGAGTGATTTTAAAGACCATTCTAGCAACAACTGAAATAACCAATCAGACTTCTCTATTGTTTGAAAATCTGCCTTTCCAGTCGGAGTGAAGAAACCCAATTGGTTATTTCGATCGTTGCTGGGTGGCCTTTAAAGTCGCCCTAATCTACAGATGGATAAATTATTGCTAGGTGAAACTTTACCATTATCAGTTGCATTTTCTCAGTAAACTATTTCGACTGCTCACTGAACTTCTCTTCAGTTATCCTATAGCAATTAAAAAAAATCGGTGTGTTGAAAAAGCTTCATTCAAGTATTTGTTTCATAAGATTGTTTCGTAGTCATTCTCGTAAACTTTTTCTTTCCCATCCACTGATTGTCCTTTGGTGGCTTATTTTATGGAAGTGAGGGTAATTTAAATGGAAATTTTCTATGCTTTTCCTAACCCAAGTGGTGGTATAGGTGACCACTTAGAACTCGTTACTAGGTGTCAGTCGTGTTCACCATATGTTAAGCCCTTAAATTGTGAGTTATGATCAATATTAGGATAAAAAGTTGTTAATTCTTGTACTGTCTTCTGTCTACTGAGTTACTCATCGACTTGAATAAACAGTTCAGGGATATTTTTTGATTGAGGTGTATTTCACATTATATTCGGCGAAAACTAAGACGTTTACAGTTTTTGCAGTAACAGTCTCCCAGCCTAATTTCCCGTGGGCAAAAGTTTCGACACTATTGTTTGCTTCACATTTATAGATCAGTATGATCAACCAAACAGTAGTTTTCTACTGGTGAACGTTAAATATGACTCGATTAATTAGATGGAGATATTTTCATTTTTGAAGTTCGCTGATTAGGGAGAAAAACAACATCATCAAAAGTATTTTTATATTAGTTAGACTTGTAGATCGTATCCTTGGGAATAGTACAAAAATGTCTGTATTTGAAGCAAATACAACGTTGAATTCTCTTCAAGTGTTCCATGAACAATTAACTTCCAATGCAATATCACTAATTATGCATTTTGATTCGACTTAGATTTATGCAATGATATAATAGCTTTCATGTGTCATTTTACAATGATTACCTCTAAGCTTTTTCGCTTAATACTTCAGTGAAGTTTCAAGAGATTCGTAACCCAATATTTTTTCACTATACCTGAAGGATGGCTAAATGAATCACATAACTTCCAAACACATTGGTGCAGTCGTGACGGAGGACAGCTACGCTCTACTCATATAGAGAATAGGTGGCATAGAAGTTTTTTCAAGTAACTTTTTTAGCGTGTTAACCCTGTGAACTGTTGGTGGCACTTTGTTCCTACATGTTCAATTCAGAAGTAATCTTTCAAATGATTATCGCCTCTATTGTAAACTGAGGTGCTGTTTTACTTCCTGAATAGGTAAGTTACATGGTTACATGGTACCGTTGAAAAGGACGTGGAATTAGCTACTATTCTTTATCGAAGTATTGCTTAGATTGGTATGAAGGCCTAAGAGTTATTCGAAAAGCCATTTCTTGTTCAACTAGAAGCTGTAACTCAGCGCAGTGTTTTTGAGTAGGTAGGTAGGTACTAGTATAATAGCCATCCGATTATTACAATGATGATAATTGCGTTGACATTGCTTGGTAGCATATTCATTTTGCTGTGAGGACAACTATACGTACACCTAGCGACCTTCGATGAGAGTTTAGGCAAAGTCAACATTTATTCATATGTCTCTTAGACCCTTTAATGCACAGTATTTAATTATAAGTGTGGGGGGGGGGACAAATCTGAACAGCGAATAACTGAAGTATTTGGTTGCTGGTTAAGTTACAGTTGCCTACGCGAATGAAAAGGATTGAAGTGTACATTCAGGTTAATAGTCCATAGATATCCCGATTTATCATCTGCACTTGATTGGTTTGCACACTGGACTTCTGACTAGTGGGCCACTGGTTATGACTCCTCTTCACCTACGAACGTTTCGGTGACCAGATGGTATCCCTAACCTTCATATTGTAGTGCGACTCATTGCCTACTGCACGAACCTGGGCTTTTCGCTGTTAACTTTATTTCGATTTCGCGACCCACACTATTATTTCGCAGTACTAGTTATCTGCCAACGTAATCTTGTGATAGTGGTGAAGTGCTCAAACTCACCATAAATTCTCTTCATTCTGGTTGCCGAAAGTAGATGATATTTTAGCATGAAGTGGGGAATTTCCGTGATTTATACGACTGTGAAGTTACCTAACTTGAGTTGCTTTGATATGTGTTACATATGGTATGTTGATGTTGGTTGTAGTATGAATAGAGCGGAATCAGTTTCACGTCCTTCTAAGCACCGAATCGTAAAGCCATGAAATATCGGTCATACTTTTTTAGTTGGTATTCTCTTACATGTTGACCTGGGTCTTCTTGACTTAGGAGATATACGGTGACGTTAGTTTCACTTGGCTCTATTCACTTTTTATGTGCTTAAATTTTTTTAAATGCTGGTATCGTCATATTCTTTATGCTTTTCCTTTCTTCATCCTTCCTTATTCTATATTCTGCGTTATATATGTGCGAAGCTATCTCTACTGTTATGCTTTATTTCTGTTTAAGTGCAGTTAGTGAATTTTTTTTTCGTGAAATTCTTTACTTTATATTCGCTCAAAAAATATTATACTAGACAATTCACTCTTTTATTCATTAGCTCTACCTTCTGACAAAGATTCAATGGATAGTTCTGTAAGCAGTGGAATAGAACAGTTAGAAGATGTGCCGAATGATATGCTGAATAGTCTACGTTTTCTTGCTAAATGGATGAGTGAAAACCAGTCATTTGTAAGCAGACCACAAAGTGCTTCTCAGGGATGCTTATCAAAATATTGCGAGTGCCGTCGTGAACTTATTCGTGTCAATTAATAAGGTAATATTTACTGCATAATATTCACTGAATTTGGCGAGTTCATTTAACAGTGTATGCTTTTCGTGGTACTTAAAGCTAAATACTTGAAAATTATGCCCCTTACATTTTGTTCTTTTGCCAAACTTGAACAGTACAAGTGAGAACACCATGTACTGAATACGACTATGTCATATTGTTTCGCAAGATTTTCTTCAGCTGCATACAATGTAAATAAGCAAATAACCAGCATATCAAGGGCAACCTACATTCAGATTCGCGTTCATCTATCGAAAACACAATCAAAGAAAAAATAGTGGACGTTGCATCCGTAAATTCAATCAAACTAGACACTTGTTTACACGATAAATGTTCTGGCATGTGTGAATTAAATCTTAGTACTTCGAAAGCTATATGCGGTATTGTACAAAAGGATATGCATAAAAACGCATCTCTAAAATAAACGATTATACTAACAATGAAAGCTGTAAAACTGTAATGAAACAAGCAAATAATTTGTTATTTGCAAGGTTCAGAAAATAATGAAATACAAGTTTAAATGAATTTGAGAGGGATAACGGGGCATCGACTACCGTTTATTTTTGAACAGAAAAGTTTTATCGCATTAATTTGATGACTTATGGATTTAGCATATATTGTGCTATTTACACGCACTTATTGTTCTGGATAAAACAAAACAGGGTTATCACTCTTTCTGCAGAAGTTTTGGAAGAGGAAACAAGAAAAAAGGGAAGGAAATAGAGGAGGCAAACCAAGAAGAAAAATAATATAACCTAATTATATATATATATATATATATATATATATATATATATATATATATAATTAGTTTTTTATATAATAGATGAGAATAGACTCTTGGTGACATGGCTGAGAATTGGTCACAGTAGTGCATATGTATTCATTCCGTGACATATTCTAAGGCTTGAATGTATGCGTTAATCTTTATCTTCAAACTATTTATTCTCATATACAACTTTGTCGATTTTGATATCACTCTTTTTCTATCCACCTGTTCTTTGTTTGCTACTGTGGAGTGTGGCAAGTTGAACTGATGGGTTTATGTGCAAGGTTCTACGTTTATTTTGCCTGCCTCTCTTTCTGTCTGTGATAGTGGACACTTGAACAGTGACCTTCAGATAACATCCTTGATGGTTGCCCGGTCCCTCAGTAAATAAAGAAGGCGGTAAGATAACAGATGGTATGCATGTACATGTACAAAATAAAACGATTTATATGTATTTTCAATGGTCTAGACTATTTCCAATCCCTTCTAGAAGGGCATATCCTATTGACGTAGCCTCTTCAACCAATGTGATATTTTCACATAAATCTTTGTGCTTTTTTCTCGAAACCTCGAGGCAGAAACTATATGGACGAGCCGTGACGATGAGAATTGCTGACCTTGGATGAACGATCTCAAGAACATTTGGTTGTTTTCCAAATGTTCGAAAGTTCACTTACAGGGAACCCATAGCGGCTACTACTAGTAAACTTTGCACAGCCGTTGGAAGCAACTGAACTATCTTAGATGACCAGGCAGTTAATGAACAGACGGTGGAGCCAGTGGTGATAACTGTACTTGCTTCTCACTGGTACGTCTTGCTACGCACTACTTACTTGTGTTCGTACAAGTAGCATACACTACAATCAAACCGAAGTATGTTTTCGCAAAAGTTTCCAACACATTTCGTGACCTTTATGTGTTAGGTTATCACACTATTTAGAGGAACAGCACTACTTTTACGGAAGCTTTTCTATACGCGCCCTAAAATTCAGATAAATGTGATGATGAGATATACCTAGACGGTAAACACTACAAAGACATTTTGTCTAGAGGCTGCATTTAGTTCCTGTGTCCTATTCGTATACATTCTCATTAGTTGTCTCTGTTCTAAGCTATTTTAAGTGATATCACAATCCTATTTGTTCTCCTTTTATTCGCTGCTGTGAATGCAGGTATTTGTTTTTCTATGATTGAAGTTGCTTTGACTGTTCCAACTGTCTGTAACTGATGGTGGATTGTGTAAATGCAGGAATTGAAATCGTAATTGCTCTTCTTGCGCAGGGTTCAGAATTTTCTTCATAGTGAATACGAATTACAAATTCCAATTGCAATACTCCATAACTTTATACCTAAAGGATACCGTAGATAACCATTTCCCTATTCATTCGCTTTTATGTATTAGTGGACCTAGTTAGAGAGAGGTACAGGGAGTAGATAGTATATCCACTTTTTCTTGAGTTATTTACCAGCTTGTTTTTATTTAGAACGTTTCAGAAGTTTTAATTGTTACCTGTTTTATTGAAATGTGTGTAGCTTTACGTCTCATTGTCGCATTTTGTGATCTTACTTTTTATTCAGAACAGGGTTCTTCTAGGCTAATTAGTCTGACAGTCTTTTAATTTGTTTTCCACATTCTTCTACCTGCTTTGGTGTACTTTCGTTTATTTTTCCTGTTTACTGTTCACGATCGTTTCTAACGATAAATGTTAGACTTTTTAGCTCTTCCCTAATTTCTCTGAGATCATTATTTCTACTGAAGCGGAACTTCTTTATTTGATGCCAGCATTCAGACTATTAGCTAGTGTTGCGCTCTGCGAAGGTAGGTAAGATCTTTGTCTTGTTTCATCAACTCCCACGACTTGCGTCGCATTGACTTTCAAGACTGGTTTTCAGTTGTTTATTTGATTCATAAAGAATTAAGGTTGAAGGTGAGCACAAGTTATTTTTTCACAGATGGTGTTTATAGGTGTATTGAATTGCATTCGCTGGATTATCTGATAAAAATTCTTTTTCAATATGTTCATATGACGCCGATTAGTTTTTGTGAGATTTAATTGTAGTGCTGAGATTTTTTCTTTACGTATTTAAGCCTATTCAACTAACGTTAGTTGAGTGACTGTGCTAAAAAGTATTAGATAATCCTTATTCTTTTTAATTCATGAATCCAGTACAATGCAACTCAACAACCATGCAAAAGTCCACTCTCTAGGCTGTTAGGTAAACCTCTTTTATGAGGAATATTTTCGCTATCTGAATTTTCAAATGTAATAAGGTTGTACCACTTTCGAACTTGTGATACTGATTGAAAATAAAACAACTAAGGCGATAAACCTGCCGATTGTCTCCATCTAACTAACATCTATCAAAAGTAATCAACTACAATCACAATTGATTCAATTCACAAACAGTAGCATAAAGTCGGAAGAATGCTTATAACACTTGTGTTTGACCAAAAAGTTGTTACTGTTTTAGTTTTAAGAGAATTCTTCATGCATGCATTTCTGAAGATGTCTTAAAATACTCAACTTTCTTTTAATTTGCTTTCGGATGTTATACTTACAAAATGCAGTTTCATAAGTTCATCTTATGTTCTATTAGGGGCTTATTGTTAATGTAAAACACCATGGCTTTATTTAATAGGTGTTTGAAAAGATATACCATAGTAGGGAAAACGCATTTAATACAGCCATTGATACTTCAACTAGTATACCATTTGCGCTATATTAAACATTTTTTATGTATGTTGTCGCTTTTGGATGGGCCTACAATGAAATATTTTGCTATTTCCTAGTTTCACCATATTTGTTTATATCCAAAAGAAATCAGCTTTATCGTCTTTGGTCTAGGAAGTTAAAAAAAATGTTTGAAGTGTTGTAGTACCCTTTTGTTAGACGTATACATTAGCATCATAGGTAATACTTCTTAGATTTTCATTGTTACTTTGATAATAATGCTAACAATGGGCAACAAGTTGTGGTGAGTATCCTAAACAGAAATGCTATGTATTCTTTGTGAAAATCTGTATTATTAATGCTACATATTACTTCATTGAACTGAAAGTCTGATTGCAATTTTAGTGTTGTATTTTATATCTTGTGGCTGTGTCACTTGAAAATACTTATCGAGAATGAATCCTACGAAGTAAACAAACGTCATAAATAATGGTCTGCAAAATGAACAACTTATTCATTGAGTGTAAGGTACTTAGTTCACTTAGAATCTTATTCTCATCGGTGTGTTTTTCTCTGTTCGGATCTCCACAAATAAACATATTAATTTTCTCGGTTTTTTATGCTGACTAACATTAATATCACATGCTGTCTGGATTATTTTCAGAGTGAGAGAATTGTTGCGAAGAGCTGAGAACCCATCAACGGCTGGTGCAATATCTGTGAGTGTATCCACTTTTTAATATTATACATTCCATTCATATATATATATATATATATATATATATATTCTATAACAGAAGTCACCCTAGGAATACTCAAATTTCTTATATTTCTTTCTGTTAGAAGCCAGGATTTCTACCACCAAATGTACGTGGTCGTACTAAGCGGTAAGTGTTATTTGTTGCACATTTATTGAATATTCTGTTATGCATTTAGTGATAATGTAGTAAGCTGTCTGATTGTCGTCAGTAGGTATGATCAAATTTTTACTGCTATTATTGCGTTGTGGATTTTATAGTGTGATAATTTTACTGTAACTAAAATGTAGTGGACTAATCCATTCAGAAATCATTAAGAGACACGTACTAAAAGTTGTTAATTACTGATACTGGCTACCAATCACTTAGTTGGCGGGATTATATTTGAACCTATGATTTGTCTAATTGGAAATCGATTACTGAAGTTCATAAACCACATCTTCACTAAGTGCCCATAAAAGTTACTATTTCTATTGACTGTTCAGTCTCTGCAACTTCGGGTATCCTACTCTTCATACCGGATAGTGATTGGAAGTAAAGTAAAACCTAAACTGTGATAAGATTCTAACAAGCAATCTCCGGGTTATCAGCCTGGTAGTGTACTCACTGAGCTACAAGACCCAACTGCTAATCAGATTTAAATTTTACTTCAACCACTAAGGCTTACGTTAGTGGGATCGATATGTTTCATGCAAAATGAATGAATTCTGTTGCTTTGAAAATTTACTTATGTTCATCCAAGTAGTAAAAAAGTATAGACTATCTAATATATACGGTATTCGTTTGTCCCTACAAACTGAAAGCGAAAGTGTAGATAAAGATCGACTGTTTTTTACTTAAAGAGTAAGACGACTATAATCTCAGTGTCTAAAATGTGTTGTTTTACTAAATCTCTGTTGCGGTCATTAGCGTACACTACTGTGGAGTCCCACACAGACGAAACAGCTATCTAGTGCTTCCAGGTTTCCAGTGTTTCTCCAACTGATGTTAGTTTGGGATGAATACCAACCTGAAATCAACAGATAAATCCCCACAAACTTCTAATTTGAATTCACTATTAGTCTTTAATAAGTGCATACTTCTTTTGATCAGGAAAGAATGGTGGGAAAATAAAGCAATATACCCAGCCCACACTTCTTAAGAAAACATATCTATTATTTTATAGTAATGATGGATATTGGTTAGCGGTGAACTCCAAGACTTGGGTTTCTTCCTATTTGGGACTCGTCACTTGAATGTACCTGCCTTCCAGTGAGCAATGTTGTTCACACTAAGACTCGAACCCGGGGCCGGTCGCTTCAAACGCCAGAGTGTTATCAAATACGACACCTATCATGACAGCCACTTCTTTTGCGACAAGCCACGAGGCAATATATACAACAATAAAAATACCTAGTATTTCCTAGTATGTTATGTATTACATTCAGAGGATTTGTTATTTGATGAATAGCTCATATACGCTTAGTTTTTTATCGTTTGTTTGATCACAGCACAAACAGATGACCCATCTATCCGACCAGCAGTAAACAACCTGTATCATGCTTCAAAAATAATTACTTTAGGCTTTTCTATTGAGTATTCATAATCAATGTGAAACTGTAGCTCATTCGTTCAGGCAGTTGACTTCCAACCAATGGGTTACGGGTTCGAAACGCGCCCCACCTACCGAGATTTATACAGCCAGGTAATACATTTAGCCCTCACACGACAAATGTGGCTCATTGCCTACTGCACAAACGTGCACGTGATCTCCAAGTACATTTCGATTTCAAATCAACATTGAATTAGCGAACTGATCAAATTTTTTGAGATGAATGAGTTTTTTACCCTTTTTTCATTTAATGTGATGCTTCATATATTATTGAGTGAGATAAAACCGTAGTGTTTATTTACCTTACTGTCTGCGGCAGATTTTCAGACGTAAGTAGTGTCCTGAAAAGTGGCACAGTACTTCATCAAGAACAGCAAATTTTAGTGCATGTCATAATGGTCTAAGTAGTCGGAAGTAGTACCGGAAGTTTATAGTACCAAAAGAAGGATAATTGCAAAAAACTGTCAGGAAAACTTGCGATTCCAGTCTGTAACTTGAGAATTGTGTGTATTAGTTGCAAGTTTTATTATTATTATTATTACTATTACTATTATTATTATTATTGACTTCATACAGTTTTTCTTATATTACTGTCACATAATCGTTGAATGCTCATTTTAATACTAAAAAAATGTTTTCTTTGAAAGCTTTCGAAAATAACATTAGTTGTTTTTTCTTCGTTTATTTTGTTACTTTCAAGTCTTCCTGGATTCGTATGGATAGTAAGTGATATTGAATTGTGATTTCACCACTTGGTATAGTTTATGACCCACTTATTGTCAATTACAATGAAGAGTGCTTGGTGGTTGTATTGTGATTCATTCATATTCACACGAATAATCAGATACTGTACTGTCTACGTTTCCCATCGTAGTATGCGGTTTGCAGAGAGTTTTATCGACCCATTTCTGCCACAAAGCCATGACAACCAACAGTTGAATGTAGACATATCACTTGTATGTTCTAGGACTGCTGAGTACCACTGCGGTTATAAGTATGATCTACTATGGTGGTTATGGCTACGTAAGCTACTCGCTAAAAAGTATCAGCATAACTATAGTAACAGTATGTCGGTGTCAAACTTAGGGACTGTGGTAGAATGTAATTCTATACTAGACTCAGTAATCAATCTCTCTCCACCTAATCATATTGCATCTAAGTACAGTGTTTATCTCAGTCTATTGTGTGGTTATGTGGTAATGCATGCAATGCAATAGCCGAGTTTTTTCCTAGATTACTGATCTTATTGGGGTGTGTCACTCTATATTTAGCTAAATTCCTTCCTATGTTGCGATAATTTAACTGACACCGACTGGCAAGTTTAGCCTATTTACGCGATCTCACAGTCATTACATGAAATTTGGTAGGTTAGATCATTTCGCTTAATTGGTTTTATCTTATGTTTAAACCGACAACTCTTATCTCTGAGTGAGTTTGTAGGTTTAAATGCCATCTTAATTCCAGCCTTGTTTAGAATCCTACGTAAAGTTTCTGATGTTCCTTCCTTATACGGTGATTACACAGTGGAGGCTTTGAACTCCTTTTTGCTCGTGTCGTCGCTATCATTCGTATTCGTATAATTGTTATTATTTCGTTTCTCATATGTATGTACGAACTCCTTACTAAACTGTGATGGATAACTATTAACGCTTCTTTTATGTGCTTCAATTCCTTGTTTAAGTCGTTGCACTGACTAGTGAGTTTTCTAGCTCTATTATTGAGACATTTGGCATTGGATGAGATGATCTGAAGTGTAGATACCTGTTAGAATGTGTTGGTTTCCTGTAGACGGTAGTATCCAAACCACCATCTGTTTTTCGTTTTAATCTATAATCCAACATAGCTAATTCTCCTTGTTCATTTTCTACCTCGTAAGTGAGCTGGGTTACGCTTACTGCCGAGTTTATATATGTTTCGATTTGAACACAGTAAATGTGTCATCCACATATCGCCACCAGCATATCTTAGGTGCAGGATTAAACGTTTGTGAAGCCATGTTTCTTAACTATCTATAAGTAAATGTGCCACGATTGGGGATATAGGTGACCCCATTGCTACTCCTTCTGTTTGTTTATATGTTTCGTCTTGAAACTTCGTGGTTGTAGAGGTCAGGCACAACTGTACACCTAATGTGATGATTTCATTAACCGATATCTTAGTTCTGTGAGTAAGTTGTAAGTCGATATCCAGTTGATTTCTGACTACCTCCAGTGGCATATTTATTGGTATTTTGGTATAAAGACTTGTTACATCGAAAGTAACCATTTTTCCATCCTCTTCTATATGTCGGCCATTAATTTTTAGTTTTACCACGTAAGAATTGACTAGTTTAGAATTTGGATAGTTCCTAATAAGATATAATATCGATGCTAAGTTTGTTGATAGTTCATATGTTGGAGGTGTTTCTGAAGTCGACCATGGGTCTGATGGGATAACCTGGTTTATGATCCTGGATAGTACCATAAATTCTACCAGGATTATTAATTTTAGGCATTGAATCAAGCCATTTATAGTGATCTGGAGATGATTTTAGACGGCGTATGAGATTGGCTGTCAACTTCTTAGTTTGTTTATGATAGTGTTTATAGGACGTTCACCCCCAGACGCCCAACTCGTCGTTTCCTGTTTGGGGTCCGCTCGAGGGCCTGGTGCATGATGTCTCCAGACGGTCTTCTCAGTACATGTCCAGTCCATCTTCACTTTCTTCTGCACATTCGTTAGGCGATGAGTTTTTTGTTGTTTCGTTGTCTGGCCGGAGTTCCTCACTGCTCATTCTTATAATTCTGACTATCCAACCTTCAGTATCAAGTGAGCGTAGGCGGCAGCTGTTGATGGATATCTGTTGTTTGTCGAAATGCATTTCGTAGCGTGTCAAGTCTCTGAACCATATGGAAGCACTGACTAACTTGACTGAATTAGTGTTTAAAATTCGGACCTTGTTCACACTTTATGCTGAGTTCATTAGAGTGTAGTAGATCTCCACACTGATTTCAGATTGATGAAGGCCTGTCTTGCTGTTTTTCCGATGCTGACTTTGACGTCCTCATCAGTGCCGCCACCTATAGTTGAACCGATGCTGCTAGTTAGGTAAGTAGGTGAAAGAGAAATCCTTAATATGCCGAACCATCAACTCTCCATTGTTAAATGAAGCACCAAAGTAGATCATTTCAGTAGGAAACTTTTTTATAAGCGTAGTGAGGATGTTCGTAAAATGGTGGGAATAAAACCTGCTGTAAGATACTCTTGATATCACATGAAATACTGAAAATACCTACTTAGTAAGCATGTGATCTGTTGAAGGACAGCGATTATATTAGTAAAGCCAATTCATGCTAATTATATTGGGAAAGTAATTTTTAACGATACAGTCAGAAATATTAGCAAAATTCATGCATGTTAGATTATTAGTTAGTTGTCCTTCAGTGTCCTACAGATGTGTATTTCTAAGTGTGCATGGTGTACATGTGTACTAAACTGAAGTTGTCATTGGCTAAACCGCGTCTATGTGATCTAATAAAATGCTGTTGTTTACTGTTTATGGTCTTTATTATTAGTATAGTAGAAGAAAGTGACAAGTACTCATGTGAATTTACCAGTTGTTGACTTATTTTTTGTGAATATTCCTCATTTATTTCTTATTTCAGTGAAATATATGGGCCTCTGGATTGACTGTCAAATTTATATTCTCTAAAATACTTTCAGATGTTCTGTTTATTTGAATTCATCATAACATCTTCATAAGGTAGTGATCATGTCTGAGTCTGTTTCAGTTCCTTTGAGAGGTATCCTATGTATGTGCTCAAACTGTTGTTTTACGCTGTTTAAAGTGTTCGGCATTCGTTCTATGTGTGTCGATCGTTGAATCCTTTTGTTGAACTTTTCTCACTTCAATTACTACCGTGCTGCAAACCAGTGTCAATTAGCTAAGAACACTTTTTGCGCTCAATAGTATTTCTGAAATATATAACAATGTGTTGATTGAATTTTCAGTGTTTTACTCCCGAAATTACTAGGTTGCTTGTTTCCGTTGCTGGGGAAAATTCTTATTATTTTCGCACTTCAGCTAGTAGACATTCACATTCACACACTGTAATACACGTTACCTGACTAATCACTGCAGCAAACAAATTTCTACGGACAAATCAGTCTTTATGTACTCATGAGAATCCGCCTAAAAACCGTTCACTAATTATCTTCAAGTTTTGAGGTTGCGACAGTTAGTAGATGTGAACATTGCTTGTGCGGTTTAGTACGATCTCTTATGGCTTTTATTTCTATCGAAAATAAACTACTTTCCATCCTGAATGTGCGACAGTGAGTTGTTCATTAGGTTTATTTTATGTCACTGAGTAAAGTAATATACACAGCACAAGTCATACCTTTTTTTCAGGTATAAAATAGTACAATCTTCATTAAATACAGAAATAAGGTAAAGTCTCTTACTATATAATATTCATCTTCGTGACTACCGGTGGAATCCAGGACACGAGTTTCACGTTATTTGGAACTTGTCTTTTGGATGTACCTGAGGGATGTTGTTCCCACGGGGACTCGAACCCAGTGCCCACAACTTCAAACGCCAAAGCGTTATCCACTGGGGCAGGATAGCTACATCTTGTACAGCGGGTATTGGTTATTTTTGATACTTATACCCTCCCTCTGTCTACTTTGTTTGTATTCATCTAGCAAACAATGAAGTAGCGACGATGACTACAGGTTTCATAGTCTGATCCGCAGAAATAACTACGAATCTACATTTTTCCAAAAATATCTTATTGAATTTAAGTTTCTTTGTTTTGTACCTACCAATTCTTCATAACAGCTTTCCTGCCAACTTCGTTTGCTCTTTCAATAGTACATGGGTTTTTTGTATATCATTACAGTTTTATATGAACGACAGTGTTATTCCCACTTGTATTTCCTGAAGTGGAGCTGTCTTAATGGTTTAGCGAGATGACTATCAACCATTGGGTAAAAGGCTTGCACCCCCTTCACTTACCGAGGCTTGGGCAGCCAGGTAGTATCACTATCCCTTACACAATAAGTGTGGCTCACTGCCTACTGCATGGATGTGCACAAGGTGTCTGAATGCGTTTCTGTTTTTCTTTTCATCCTTGCTTCAGTGACGGCTGTTCTGATTCGAAATTAAAGTTTTTATTTACTAGTCAATCAGATCTGTGTCAAATAGTATTCATATTACAGAATACCAACCGTCTTCGTTTCCAATAACTATCTTATCATACTACAGATTTTCTCATAATTCAGCAGATAAAAATGTCGATAGTGATTTATGGTACTGTGGTTTCCACTTTAATTTCTTTCAAATTGAGTTACTGAGTCATATCTAGTACCTCGTTATTTTTTGGCTTTGTACTGTTGCCATCTCGAAAATCGGATGTTTCCCAACAATTCATTTTCGTTTTATGTGTTGATATGTGATTTTTGATACTGAAGAGATAAGTTAATATTCATAACAGGTAAGCTGTTGCTCTTTAAACCACTTGTTACAGAACCGAAGGATTTTTATTCGACCGTAATATCCTTGCTTTAATTTCTTTAGTTCAGAAATTTACTTTCTCATGCTTGCACTGCATATCTACAGATTGCTTATTTCCTCTATTTCTTTATTTTAATAAAATTTTTTTGATGCAAATATCACTCAATAGTCAATGCAGTTCGACAAATTAATGAAACAGAAAATGAGGAACTTGACTCAGAACATTATGCCATTGCTCTTGGTGTTCTTGTCAGGCTGATGCAGGTCAGTGATTGTATATACTGTCATTAATCTCAGCTATTCATTTGATATACTATTGAAACCCGAAATCCAAGCGTTTTTTAGAATTATTTCACTGTTAAGATAATGGGGTAGTTGTTCAGATGACCATACAGCAAGACATTGGACATTTCTAGCTTAGAAGTCATTACAATCGGTCTATAGTTGTTAATAACTAGCAGGAAGCTTTTTGTTCACTGTTCGGGTGTAAGTGATTCTGTCAGCCTTGTTTATTAAAATTATGGTCTAGTGTATCCATCATATTGGTACTCACACAATCGCTTTGGAGAAATGTCCATGATGATAAATATCAGAAAAACTATGTGTTACCGGAGTCCTCAGGGAATATAAATGAAATAGTATGGTGATTTAGGGGGAATATCAAACTAACTGAAGCAACTGGTAGCACCTAGTTGCTTACAGTTCAAATTTTACAACTTAACATTGCTACTTTCCATTCCAGCTACGTTTATTCTTTGTGTTCGAACTACTGGTTCATTTTAACACCTAATAGGCCTTATCCACTATTTCTCAAGGACGAGTACAATTACAGTGTTACTATCAACAACAGCTTAGAGTGTAATGCTAATGTTATTTTAATTGAATTTGAGTTTCCTCGTTTTTAAGTTGCATTCAAATCAGCAGACATCTCTACATGTGACTGAAATACAGGTTTAAACTGTTAAACTGTTTACAATGGTAGTAGCAGGTGTTTTATTTTTAATTTGAGGCATTCCCAGTATTGCCTGATATTATACACAACAACATTATTCTCATAATTCATAACTATTATCATCTCTAAAAAATAAATTTACTTTTGTTTTTGCTGTTCAATTTCTGTCTTCAGAATGAGCGTGTTTTACTGGATCATTTACAACTAACAGATAGTCCACAGAATTCTCAAGTGTTATTGTTCACTATATTTAAAAGTGGATCAACTGACATCCTAACTGAAGGAACGGTAATTTTCACTTTTATGCTAATTTTTCAGTAAATGGTTTTTTACTAATATCATAACTAAGGGAAATATTTTTTTATGCTGCATGATTGGACGTTAAATGGAAATTTGGACCGCGGCTGGATTCAAACTTGGTGGTCTGCCAGACCAGGGCCATCTCAGATGGTCAAAATGATGAATATTTATTTGTCAAAAAGGTGTTCGTTCCGACTGATGTATTTGATTTTCATTCGTTTGTTTTTCAACTCATCACCATCTGAGTATGCTTACAGACTTGTAAGAGAAGTGATATTCCTCCTATAATGGTGCTTGTTATGTTCTTCAATGTATTTCAGTTAAGCATACTACTTATCGGGCGTTTCCGTAATATTAGAGGTAGATGGCTTTCAGTGGGAGACTAGGCAGTTTTCATTAGGACTCATCCTTCACTTCATCTCAACTGCAGTTAATGGGCGCGTAAGGAGAGATTACAAATAAACAACGATGAGTTTCACTATTCCTAATTTTCTTCATTGTTCCGTTCAGTTTGATAAATCATGGGTGACTCAACTGAAATCCAGTCGAGGAGTGTACTCTTTCTCTTGGAAAGACCTAGTCCTATGTCTACACCTGCAAGACCGCGAGTACTAGCCATTGAATCTCTCCAAACACGAAGGATGAATTCTATAGATTCACCACATTGTCCGGGTAAGGATGGATGAATAACCACATTTGGGTCCTGTATGCGTGTCTCACAAACAAAGCACACATATGTCACGATTTGATAGAGTTTCAGCTAGTGAGGTTTGTTGGCCGACTTGTTAGAGGGTCCAGACATTGAAAACTAACAATTTGCAGCGTGGTTTTGGGCGACCAAGGGTACTGTTCTGTTAACTCAAATCGTTGTCGAGAGCTGAAGAGCTGGGAGAAATTAAACATGATGTAGGATTATTCGACTGAAAGATATAAGGGGACGATTAGAAAATAAGGATGTGGGAAGTGGAGAGTGATCTGAGGGAGCTACAGTGCTGACATAGGTGAAAGGATATGCATACAAAGAAAAACTACGTAATATATGGTGCAGTCACTTATTCTAGCAAAGTTGCTGCATTTTAGATCAGTACATTCAGAAGAAAAAAGTCACCAACAAGACAAATAGCCTCAGGAAAATAATACCGAGGGAAGTTGTCAAGACCCTTAGACCTAGAAAATAAACTAGGATTGCGGAAACACCAAAACTATTATTTCAATTTTCAGTTTAGGACAAATTGTAGATGCGTTTAAACTGTTGCACTCAATTCTTTGATATATTCTTTGTAGACAACAAAGTAATTTGTTTTAGCCTGTATAACTTGGTAGGCAGAAATTAAAGGGTATTGCTACCACCTTTCGCCAGTAGGAACCAGAAGTTTTTCTTACTTATTGATGTGTTATAGTTGCGTCAGCGATTTATGTAATATAGTTAACAGGTCAAAATTTGTCGCTTCTCTAGAGTGCTTTTGAAAAGTTTCCATGTAATTCATTGGCTTTCATGAAAACGTTTAACGCATAAAATAATATCCTTGCTTTGTTAATCTCTGGTTTATTGCTTTAGACAATCAGTTTTCAACCACTGACTCAGAAGTCAGAAATCGTATCCATCCACTAAGATTTTGACAGCCACTTAGTCACCAGTCTTCACGATGGAGGTGACTCTGTAACTCACTATACAAACTCCAGCTAAACAACAGTCTGTCAGCCACAACGTGCAGTGTGATAGTATAGGTAATAAGCTACATGTATTTTCGTGAGTGCTTATGATATTACTACTACCAATACTGCTGCTACTACTAACTTGCTTTTCAAAGGTGAGTAGGTGAAGCTTATGGAAGCTTAACAACGTAAATCAGTATTCCACAACCCCAAAGAAACTTGTACATTATTGGTAAGAAGAATATAATCAGTAATTTTAGGGAAATAAAATAAAAGGAGTTAATTAATTATATACTTTACAGAAATCAGATGAAAGTGTCTAATGAAAACTTCAGCCACCAAGAAGTTAACGTTATATTCATACAACAGCCCTGATTTCATATGATGACGGTTTTAATATATATAAGTTGTTTTCTTTTTCCGTTTTGTCTCGTTTCATGAGCTTACTTCATGTTCTCCTGTTTACTTAAACCGGTTTGTATGCACTTTTATTGACTTCTGTGAAAATAAGGTTTTGTCGTTCAGTAATATTCACAAAACTTCATGTGTACTAAGCCTTTGGTGTAATCGATTTTACAATATCATTATTTCATGTTTTCTTCTATAATGGATAAAACTAATGAATAAAATGTTTTTTTTATTTTTGAACAGACTTTAACCCGTTTAATGCATCGTGCTCAAGGACGTGCTGAGTTTCACATGGTCATGTCACTGTTAGTGGTTCTTAGAAGATTTAGCCAAATTTCTAATGATCTTGTTACTGTGCTTCAGGTAAAAAAAATAACCTCTAGGTTGGTAAACTTTTTTTCTTCGTGGATTATCAATACAGAATTGCTTTTCATTAGGGTTTTCGACAAACAAGATTAGAAAATTTCATCTATCTTTGTTAAGCTTGCTTAGTGGTGTAGGTGAATATCCTCCACCTAAGGTAGAATGTTGCTCTCTTTTCTACTTTTCAGTAATCCTACACCCTACATTTTTTTCGAAGCTATAGTAATGGCATACATAGCTATCTTATTCATGTTTCAGTTTAGTTTGGTGGTGAAGAGATGAAGGCTGATAGGTTCAAGCTAATTTCCGTATTTGCAATATACCTCATGATTACAGTTGTTGTTTTCCATGTGACGAGTAAAAGAAGCTATCCTACTGAATAATTTGCACTTGGAACATAAGTTTGTCTCATTTTTGATTCCGGTGTTGCGTAAGCAAACAGAAAATATACAGACAAGGTAATACAGTTTTCCACGTGATACAATAATTACTTAGCTGTAAATATATGTACTAACTCTACTGCCGGGTGTTTGAGAATCTATCCCATGGGCTGAAATAAATCCACGCCAACTTATCTGTCTGTCAGACTAAAAAGTACTAGTTAACATGAAGGAATCAGAGTTATAACCACAACTGGATCATATTTGTTGTGTCGTTTAATGTACAGCCGTGTAGAGAGATGTACTATCTGGTTGGGGTCGTCAAGACGAAAGGAATCAGTGGTTGAGGAGTCTCGGTGACATGGCTAGAAGTCGGTCATGATGTTGCAGATACATTCACTCTTTGGCATCTTCTAAGGCTTGAATATTTGCACTAACCTTCATCTTCAGATTAATGATTCTGTCACACAACTTTGTTTACTTTGATATCACTCTTTTTCCATCCACCTGTTTTTCGTATACTACTATGAAGTGTGGCGACATGAGCCATGCACCTGTATGCAAAATTCTAAGTTGATTTTACTAGTTAGTCAATCATAACATTACGTTTTTTGAGAACAAGTTATCAATAAAAGTAATGCATCTGTTGCATAATAATCTAGTTTATTTTATAACAGTTATGTCGGAAAATAAGTAATGTTACCTTCGTAGCTGAAGTTGTTTAACCGCATCATATATATATATATATATATATATATATATATATATATATATATATGCCTTCAGACATATTACATAACCTGTTCTGGAATCACCGTGTGAATAATACTTGGTATACATGCAGAATATTAAAGAAGAGAAAGTCAGTTGATGGGATTGTAAAGTGGCTTGTGCATACTAAACTACTACGTGCCTCTATGTGAAATGTTCGTTACAATAGGATCGATTTCAAGATGATAAACACAACAAAATGTGGCAATTTTTAAAGTTTTCTTGATTGTGATTTTATAAAAATTTTTGTATATTGTTTCATGTCATACAGTGTTTTGGGAGAGTTTAAATGTATACCGTATTTGTGTAATCAAGGAATGAATAAAAGTGATAGAAAGCTACTTCTATGAAAGGATCTTTAGAAAAACCCTGCTGTTACTGAAGCTTTAGTTCACTCTTGGGTAATTTCATATGTACACTGTGAACATCACTTTGTTGAATCATGCGTTGCAAAGTTGGTTATTAAGCATCTATCCTTTTGCTCTTCAAGGGTATTGACAATGTTCTGATTGACTTTAATCAGTTAGTTCTACGATTGTTGAATCAAAGTAAGACAACACTGGAGACTTACGTTCAGTTTTTACAACAAGTCAGTGAACGATCCAGTTCCAGTAGTACAATTGTGCCAGCAGACGGAACAATACACGAATTGACGACGAATGTAAGTTTGACGAATAATTTCTAAATTTATTCATGCATTAATATCAACTAGTTGACTAAATATAACTCAAGTAATTAGATCGATATCGAAACACGTATCATGATACATTTTTAGTTCGCTATCTTTCGTCTGCAAATATTTTTTTGTTTTGTGTCACTTTAGTATTGTATTCACTTCAGTGGCCCATTTTCATGTTGGTCTTTTAGTCATATTTGTCTACTAATCAGAGTTGAGATTTAATTACATCTATCTGGTAACTGCTAAGTGAGCGAAGACATTACTTTTCAACTCCCAGTTGTCATCAGGCACCACATAAAGCACCAGCTAATGCTTATCATTTTCGCGAGTGTATGTTGTTTCTGTGGTCATTCGAAGTTTTGCAGTATTTCATCAATTCAAGACATTCTTATTGTTGTCTTGTATACATCATTCATCCTGTTGATGAGTTTTGCCAGACTGCTAGTGAAATAACTTTCCAAAAACCGTATTAATTTTATGTTCCTGTGCTATGGCTTGCATTTTGTTTTTCCCGTATAGTCGAATTTGTTATCTGATTGACCATTGGTACTTTTAACGTAACAGCATGTTACCCTTATTATTAAGTCTCTATCTGTGTATTATATATATATATATATATATATATATATATATATATATATATATATATATATATATATATATATATATATATATATATATATATACGTCATGACTGCGTGAAGGTGGTTAAGATTGGCGTACGCCACTCTTATATTAGATATGCAGTTGGAAATTTCATCACACACCTCCTACCAGCACTCACACAACTACCCAGATACACGAACGTTTCGACTACTTCCAATGGCTCACCACTAAGGGTAAGTACAGACACAGGCTCCTGCTAATCTTGCAAAAGTGCTTTGCACTTGGGTGGTGCAAAGCACTTCCAGGCGTCGTCTTTGAAGATTGTTTGTCAGGGTAACATCTGCATCACATAACATCTCACCGACACCAGGTTTCTTGCTTCCATTGACTCGGATGAACTGGAACAGCTTCTGACTATTCCCCGATGTAGCTTCTGCTGCCATCTCACTCACACGTTCTGACCACTAAGCCTCACGTTCCTTGCCTAAGCGTTGTGTAATCTTTCTGATGAGAGATTGACGCGAACTTTTGTACTCGCTATCCGCCAGAATAGTCCGACGAGCGTCAAGAAATGGCAGAGAGCTCACTGAGACAGTGTTCATTAGCAGGACGTCCTTCTAGGCTGCAAGCGGCTTTTGTCGCCATTTTCATAGCGTCTTGCAAGTGCAGTCAACGATATTGACACCATCAGGATGATAGTTAGCCAGGCTTTATTCTAGCTCGGATTGGTATTTAGCTGGAATGTTAGGTGCAACTAATTTGCTTGCATCGAACTGTTTAGGAAGACGGTTTTGATGATTACAAAAATGCAGGAGGAACTTAGCACACACTAAAGCATGATCGGAGTCCATACAAGTACTCTAAATGGAGCGGCAGCCGTGTATTCACGCACGCCATCGGTAGGTCGTTGCAATATTATCTGTTTGAGTCCAAGCTTGAGTCGCAGAAGGAGGACGCTAAGTAGCACAACGGCGGTGACTATGCCGGAAGTTGGTGCTGGCTAGAAATAGGTTATGATCCGAGCAAAGTTGCAAAAGACGTTCCCCATTATCCGACCTGCTGCCTACTAGTCCGGATTGACCACCTAAACGACTCTCCTCTAAGACTAGACGCCTGACCTGGGCATTCACGTCCCTATGTAGCACTACGATATCTGTCGACTGGACATGGTTGGGGTCACTCAGGTGATAATAAAATTCATCCATGGTTGCATCCGGGCTACAATTCGCCGGAGCATAGGTAGAGATGACAAAGAAATCGTTTTTTGTGTTTCCGGTTACCTCTTACTCGAGATGAACCTTGTAACGCAACAACAGACAGAAGACTGTTGATGGGGATTCAGTTGAGGAGTGGAGCTTCTGCTCGAACGCCTAGTGTGACACCGGCACCAAAGATGCTGATTACCGATGCCACAGGGTCACCGGATAAGCGCACATAAAACGTACTTTCCGAGCTAACAGATGGGGAACTAATTCGAACCACTTCACTGGGATCTTGTATGTGGGTCTCTGAGATGCAGCATACATCAATAGCGAAGGTTTCTAGAGTCCTATCCTACTGTTTTATCTGCATCACAGTGCGAGCGTTGAAGGAGGTGAGCGTAAACGATGTACGTTGTTTCAGTATAGATGTGTCAGACTGAAGCACAGCCTAATGGAGGCAACTGTTTAGCGACTCAGAACGGTACAGACAGACAAGAAGTGTAAGCAGTGGAGAGCAGCTGAGTGGAAATGGTAATAATAAAAAAACACAATCCATGTGTATAAACAACAAAAACAATAAAATGGCAATAAATCAAGTAATCCGTTATATAGTTTGTAATTTAAAATGCTTGAGTATTCGTCATTCGCCCTTCGTTTCATCGGAACTTGGAGTCCAAGTGCACCAGTGGTTTGGAAGCAGGGTTTTCCAACTCCCAGTATCAACCAAACTGGTGATTAGCACATTGGCTTTCGTCTATTCACTTTCATGGAAATACCCCTGCCATGTGAAGACAGTGAATAGGACTTCTCTTGTAGAGGCTTTGAACGCATATGATGTCAATTGTTGGTACCAGCTGAATAGCTGCCGCACATCAGGAATTTACGAAAGGGAAATACTGGCTTGTTTTGCTTCAAATCAAGCAGTAAGCTCAGCATTGTGTAGATGAAATGATTTCTAAAACAGGTTAGTCTAATGGATCCATTTCTTGTATGCGAAGTGTAATATGCTGTCGAAGAAACTTTGTATTACCTGATTTCATCTTAAACATATTTATAACTTAGTATCCCATCTTTGCGACTCAATAATGAAACATTTCACTTTCGTGATAGTTTCTGATTGTTAGTGGTTTCTGAATAGAACAAAATATGTTATGTTGAATATATATCGCTTAAATATCTTACGGAATTATCATCAAGCACTTTACTGTCGATATGAATATTTTCCTAATGATGAGATTGGTTATCTCCTGTTTCGCATTTATTTTACCGGAAAAATTCCTTCGAAAAATAATGTATTCTATGTTACGGACAGACATAGTAGGTAGAAAATATATTCAGTGATCCTCGGGTATTTCAAGTGATGGTTGCACTAGAAGATGAGGAGAAACATCTAGTTTACAATCTGTAGATTTAATCAAACTTACATCTTAGGTTTCTTCATCAGTCACCTTCAAATAATATGCTGGTACTATTCATTTCTGTAGTATTAAGCAATGTATTCTTCGAATATCTGTTTCTGTTTGTTGTGTTGCGTAAATAGATTCGTTTTAAAGAGTTAGAGCGTTGATTTCCTATATGTTTTGTTTATTTATGTCATATTTCGACATAATTAACAAAATAATGTTTCTTGATCGTTTAGTTAATGACTCCGAATTTTTTCTCACTCTCTCTGTAATTTAGCCACTATGCTCTTACTTACTTTTAATACATCCTAGCAGCAACTGCTAAAATAACTAATCAGATTTCTGTATTCCGTATACAAAGGTAGTTTTTCTGGGGGACTTCAAGGGTGACCCTATAGGCCACCCACCGATTGGTGAAACAACCAGTCACTTTTCTGTATTCTATGAAAAGTCGGGCAACTTTTTAAAGGCCACCCTAGCAACAATCAAAATAACGAATTAAGTTTCTCCATTTCAACTGGAAAGGCAGATTCTCATAAAATGGGTAATTTTAGTTGTTGCTTGAGTGGCCTTTAAAGTTACTCAGTTTTTTTCATAAAATAGAGAAACGTAATTGATTATCTCAGCAATTTCTAGGATGCCCCTTAAAGTTACTCACTTATAAAGGTGTGGGTTTATAAATGTCTTGGTAACTGACTTCAAACTATGGCGTTTTGAGCGTAAATCCCACTCGTGTTCGCCTCAAATTTGGTAGATAAGTGCTACTGTTACTATCGCCGCAATCAGTTTCCCCTACAGACAAGCAACCAGTCTACTTGATTTTCACTTGCATTATGTGTTTAGTGTTATATGTTTAAAGTCAACCAGCATGTTTCATACATGTTGACATATGAGCCAGGTGTGTTTGTAACCTTAAGTGAAGCACACTGATCTGAGGTGTGGCAACTCGGACCGTTACGCAGTAATGCCTGGTCCTATGTTAATAATAATGATGATGATGAAGTGAAGCACATGTCCCTTTGAAAATTCAAATTTTTATCATCTATTACCGCTGTTAGAAAACTTTACTACATTGATATTGAGTCTAAATCTTATACATCAATCGATCATCGTTAGACTTACAGTTCTTCTTTTATTTTTGTCCTTTTTATCCACACTTAAAACATGTGTTAACCTATTATTTTTCTCTTCATCAAACATTATAATCAGGCTTTAATGTACCTAGAAAACTTGTTGGAATTTGCTGATATTATCGGTTCCGCTTTGTCATTTACTGAAGCTGGTTCACAAGCTACAAATAACACACTTAAATACCTTGGTAATACTCGGAAAAATTCATCGTATCTAGAGCATCGTTTGGGAATTATTTGTGTAAGAATTATTGCTTCATTATCTTATTCCTGTTATTCTTTATGCTTATGTGGATTAGTTGTTGAAGCTGTTCATGCGAATACAGTTTATATGCTTCTTAGTGTTTACAGGTTACAAATATGGTCATAATTCTTTGTGTATCTAAGTTGACTGTTCATTGGTTCACTCATTATTTCAGATCGCGTTTTTCATCACAATTTATGATCGTTGGAAGCATGTGTAAAAATGTGAGATGAAGTGAAATTACTAACTACAGAAGTTTAGATGACTTATTCTCTGTTAAATTGATAGCTTGATCGTGTAGCGTGTTAATCGGGTTTGTGACCGCTCAGCTAATCATCCCGGGGTGAATAACCTCATGTGGCACTGGATTGATTATATGACTATTTAAAATAGTGTGCTTGAAGATTTTGACTTAAATATAAAATAGAATGACCTGAGATGCATATGTAGACTTACATTAATATCACCTTAATTGAACAGTTGTGATCGACAGGCGATCACGTACTCCTGCAACTCTGCAGAGACCGGCGAAGCTATCGGTTTTTTAAGTTTATTCTGTTTATTTAGGCGCAGCTTCATGTTATTTCTCATTCGATATGTGCAAAGTGCTCTGCAAATATCTTGAGTCAGAATGTTGTATGCTGTCATCGATTCGCATACTAAATCCTTTGCGAGTTAACTATGTATACTGCATGAAATCATAATTGAAACTTGTAACCGGTTTACATTTGATGTACTTTAACTGGTTGCTATGCCTGTGGCTAGATTCATAAGTTATCTAGCTCAAATTTGTGAAGGATACAGCCAGTACTTAATTACTTCATCTTTCGATTTTATGATTCATTTTCTCAATGATATATGCAACATGTTAAAATATACAGTTTGATGTTGTTACTATGATCCCACATCTGTCAAAATAATTTTTCTATAAATACATTTATCACTTGAATATTTGTATTGAGCACAGTACATTCTGAAACGTAACGTATCTCCTATTACTACTTTAACCCAGCTACATTATTTCAGATGAGGTAACCTGTTCACGTTACTTGTATAGAAACTTGTCAACTTCTAGTGTACATTATCATTTGCATTATCTGAATAGCAGTCAGTAGGATATAATCAGAGATTACAAATAATTTTCGTGAATTGGCTCAGACTACTCGGGTTTGCATCGAGTCAATCAGCTGAACAACATACGAATAACCTTTAAGTGGGACCTGATGGAGGAAACAAATTCTTTTTGCCGAATTCGTATATATCTATGTTTGATAAGCCTTCATATACTAAAGGATTTGATTCGATAGAAATTTTACAATATTTTGGTGTGGTTAAGTGAATAAATCTGTTTTCATGTATGTGTTTATCAGAGACTACGATATACACCATGGATTAGTGTAGTAGTTGACTTAGTTCATCAAAGACGCTATTCGGTTCCGAAAAGGTGTGGATACTGAAAGAACAAGCATAAAGTTTATTGTTTGATTTACTCAGATGGTTTATGTTATTCTTCAGGCTTTGTGAGAGTGTACTGTATCCAGAGCTATCAGAAGTTAAGGATACTGTGGTTAGGGTAGTATTCGAACTGATGAGAAGCAAAACGTATTGCGGTTTATTATTAAATATGATGCAGAGTTGCACATGATTAATACTTTGCAACTACCGCCACTTAAAAAAAACTGTTGTTTTATGGAAGCATTTTGAAGAGAAAGAGGTCTGCATCGTCACAAGGCTTTAGAGAAGTATGTTTTAAGTTCTTGGCGTTTATTTTGAACGCTTAAATCTGCTTTTGGTGGGAATGCAGATTGCTGAAGTAAATAAGGTACACCGCTTTTGAACTAACCTATTCTAACTCCATCTTCGAAGAACGATTATGTAACCTCGATACTAATCCTAGTTGCTTGAGAAAAACACTAATGCTGCTAATTCTTATTCTTAAAATCGTTATGCATTTATCTTCAGTTCAGATAACTGTGTTGTCATTTCAAGGTATCAACAGTTAACCAATTAAACTCAGAAAACAAACTGACATTTATGGTTTATTACAGTTAAATTTATATCGACAATATAGTATTTGAGTTATTCCTCTGGTTATTTAAAAAAAATTAAGTACGTAAGACTAATCATTATCCATTTCATTTTATTTAAGAAAGTTTAAGGAAGTAACACTTCTCTTATTCTTGTTTGGTTCTTTTACAATACTTCAGTCGGTGCTTTATTTGCTTTAATGACTAATTTGGAGCGTAAATCAGAGGTATACTCTGAAGAGATACGTCGAATGATTTTTCAGATGAACAATATTCAATACATATTAAAAAGTATTTACAAGTATGTGGAA